AACACCGAATAATGCACCATAAGTACGATATAAATTTCATTGCATAACTATTGACTTTCGTGCTTGCATAGGGACACAAACCTTAACATCAATATTCTTACTAAAGCACAATTACTCATCAACATGACTCACATATCATATCGTCATATCTCAAAACCATTACTAAGAATCAAGTTTATTTTGTCCAATGATCTTCATGAAAGTTTTTATTGTATCCTCCTTGGATATCTATCACTTTGGCAGTATTTTCATATGTTGCTTTTGATAAGCTCAAGCAAATATAAGTGAAGATCACGAGCATAATTTTTTTTATCTCAAAATAATCTAAGTGAAGCAAGAGAGAATTTCTTGAAACTTTACTAACTCCCAAATAAATCTAAGTGGAGCATAGGAGCAAGCATAGCATAATTTTTGGCTTTCTCAAAAAGGTGTGTCTAGCAAGGATTCAACACTTAAAACACAAATCAAAACAAGCAAAGACTCATATCATACAAGACGCTCCCACCAAAACTCACATTATCTAACGAATAAAACTATAGGTTCAAGTAAAATACCGATGGTTGTTAGAAGAAAGCAGGGATGCCACTCGGGGGCATCCGCAAGCTTAGTTGCTTGCTACTTCTTTCAATATTATCTTCGGGTGCCTCGGGCATCGCCAAGCTTAGCCTTTTTCTTATTGTTATTCCTTCATCCATCGTAATATAACCCAAAACTTGGAAACTTCAATCACACAAAACTCAAACAAAACCTTCGTGAGATCCGTTAGTATAAGAAACCAAACCACTACGATAAGTATTGTAGCGAACCCATTCTTATTTTGTTTTTGCATTATATCTACTGTATTACAACTTTTCTATGGAAAAAACTCATCAAATAAAACCATAGAATAATCAAAACAAGCACACAACGCAAAGAAAACAAAATCAGTCAAAAATAGAACAGTCTGTAGAAATCTGAATATTTCGAATACTTATGTAACTCCATAAATTCTGAAATAAATTGGTAGACGTGAGGAATTTGTCTATTAATCTTCTACAAAAATAATCAGCTCAAAATCACTCTTCTAATAATGACAAATAATCTCCTGAGTGCAAAATTTTCTGTTTTTCAGCAAGATCAAATAAACTTTCACACAAATCTTCCCAAAGGCCTTGCATGTCATAGACACTAATTAAAACACAAAAACACAATCATAAAAGTAGCATAATTGTGCTAACACACAAGAGCAGAAATCAAAAGGCAAAAATAAACTTTATTCATTGGGTTGCCTCCCAACAAGTGTTATAGTTTTACGCCTCTAGCTAGGCATAACGCGTATGATCTAATTTTTGTCACTCTTATCCTTGTTTGCCTTGGAGGTATTTGTGTCAGGAGGTTTTGTAAATAAGACATAAAACACATTATCCATGGAAACTTAGCACTATCAAGTTGCTTTTTATCATAACCCCTTTGATTTCTGGCAGTGATCCAGGAATAGTGTTGGTTAACATCGTTCAAAACTTGTTGGATCATATCTAAAATGGGGGCTTGCTTTTTAAGATTCTCATCAAATATTTGGTTATCCCCAAGAAAATGTCTTAAAGCATAATCACTATTATAAAGAATTTCATCAATCACGGCTTTTTCACGATTCATGCCATAAAAATCAAAGATTTCCCTAGCTTCCCGTATTATGTAGTCAAATTCATTCATCAAAACAAGAGTATCTAACTTTTTAGCTTTAGGATCCTTTATAACGGGTAACTCATAAAACAATCTTTGCAAGGTAGGATGAGTACGAATAAATCTAGTTTCAAGTTTTAGAACTAGTGCCGAAATAGCTTCCGCATACGATTTAGTACTTTTAAGTATAGGAATATTATCAAGATTTAATTTTGCGACACAATTGAAAAATTCTTGAATATGTTATTTTCCCATAAAATTCCCTTGCCCCAAAACAAAAGTTTTGGCATCCAGATTAACCGTACGCTCCATTTTAGAAGTTTGGCCATCATCTGTTTCTGCCATAACAAAGTCACTCATGGTGACAAGTTCAAGCAAATAAGAGATCTGACGAGAAAACGATGAATGAAAAAGAGGGCGAATAAAACGGAAATTTTTTGTGAAGTGGGAGAGAGGAAAACGAGAGGCAAATGGCAAATAATGTAAATTGTGAGGAGATGAGATTTGTGATCAGGAACCTGGTTGATGTTGAAGATCCTCCTCGGCAATGGCGCCAGAAATTCCTTTTGATGTCTGCTAGAACTACGTCAGTATTTCCCCAAAGAGGAAGGGATGGTGCAATATAGCGATGGTAGGTATTTCCCCCAGTGATGAGACCAAAGTTATCAAACCAGTAGGAGAACCTCCTCACACCACATAAACAGCACCTGCACAAAAATAACAAATACTCGCAACCCCACGTGTTAAAGGGGTTGTCAATCCCTTCTGGGTACGGCGCCTCAAGATAGGCAAATAATGTGAGGTAAAAGTGGTAGATAGGATAAATAGATCGCGGAACAAATAAATTGCAGCAAGGTATTTTTGTATTTTTGGTTTAATAGATCTGAAAATAAATGCAAAGGCAAATAGATCACAAAGGCAAATACGATGAAAAGAGACCCGGGGGCCGTAGGTTTCACTAGTGGCTTCTCTAGAGAAAAATAGCAAACAGTGGGAAAACAATTACTGTTGGGCAATTGATAGAACTTCAAGTAATCATGACGATATCCAGGAAATGATCATTATATAGGCATCACGTCCAAGATTAGTAGACCGACTCCTTCCTGCATCTACTACTATTACTCCACGCATCGACCGCTATCCAGCATGCATCTAGTGTATTAAGTTTTCATAGGAAAAATGGAGTAAAGCAATAAGAACGATGGCATGATGTAGATGAGATCTGTTTATCTATTGCGGAGATATAGATCTCATCTTGTTATCCTTAGTAGCAACGATAAATACGTGTCGGTCCCCCTTCTGTCACTGGGATCAAACACCATAAGATCGAACCCACTACAAAGCACCTCTTCCCATTGCAAGATAAATAAATCAATTTGGCCAAACAAAACCCAAATATCGAATAAGAAATACAAGGCTATAAGCAATCATGCATATAAGAGATCAAAGAAGACTCAAATAACTTTCATGGATAAAAACATAGATCGGATCATAAACTGAAAGTTCATCAGATCCCAACAAACACACCGCAAAATGACTTACATCATATGGATCACCAAGAGACCATTGTATTGATAATTAAGATAGAGGGAGAGAGAAAGCCATCTAGCTACTAACTACAGACCCGAAGGTCTAGATTGGATTTGGTGGTTCTGGACTCTGTGGTGGCTAGAATTGATTTTCCTTGACTCCCCTAGGGTTTCTGGAATATTGGGGTATTTGTAGAGGAAAGAGGCGGTTCGAGGGGCACCTTAGGTGGGCACAACCCACCAGGGCGCGCCTGGGCCTCCTGGCGCACCCTGGTGGGTGCTGCTCCCCTCGAGCCACCCCCTAGGTGCTTTCTTGGCCCACTGGATGTCTTCTGGCCCAAAAAATATACTCCAGGAGTTACATTGCGTTTGGACTCCGTTTCAGATGATTTCCTGCGATGTAAAAAAGATGCAGAAAATGGCAAGTGACACTGGGCACTATGTCAATAGGTTAGTACCAAAAAATGATATAAAATGACTATAAAATGATTGTAAAACATCCAAGAATGATAATATAGCATCATGGAACAATAAAAAATTATAGATACATTGGAGACGTATCAACAACCAATATCCAAAGGGTGTTAGTGATACTTCCACCCCTAGGATGTCCAGGGCTAAACCACACTCTTAAACTTGGATGCTTCTTTTGAGAGTAGGAGAAATATTGGAAGTTAAACTATTAGAAGTGTAAAGGCAAATAAAAAGTAGACTGGAATATCCAACTCATGTATGAATGTCATACAGGTTATTGGTGTATGGAAGGCTAGTCAAAGAAATAGTTCTTGGGAATTATGATTAAACATGTTAATCACTTATTCTTGGGTATTGTGATTTGATCATAGGAATACCCGCTCGATTGCATTGAATTGTGACTCGATGCAAGAACTACAACAGCCTAAAGGACTTGCCAGAAATGAGGTTTAGATACACACAGGAAACATAGTTAATGTAACTATACCTTCCATCGGTGTATTACTATATGTATTTATTTTCATAAAGAATTTTACAGTTGTACACACTCTAGCCCATTGCATAAAGTATCTTGAAAGAAGGTTGTTCATAAGGGAACTTTTGATGTTCGGTGTTGTGAATAACAGAAGGGCCATACTTTCATTGTGAATGAGATGTATGTTATGAATAAAGATAATTTATTTTACAGTTTCATACACTCTAACCCATTACACAATGTTGTTGCAAAAGGGTTGTTCATAGAAGAACAATTGTTATTCAGTATTATGAATAACATAAAGACCATGCTTCCATCAAAGATGGGACGTATGTTATGAATATTGATGGTAATATGATAAATCCATAACACCGATGCTAAATGTTGCAAGACTAAAAGAATACCACACAAGTGTGGCGCTGCATTTGGTCACATTGGAGAAACCCGCATGGAAAATTACATTATGATGGATTTTCAAGTCGGTTGATTTTAAATCATCTAACACTTGCAACGTTCGTCCGAAAAGTGAAGTGACTGAAAAACTGTTGACAGGCCATAAGGAACGAGCAAAGAACATCTATACTACTATTAAACAATCAAACAAGAACTTCTTTAAACGCACCCCACAAAGCATAGACTAAAATCAATCTAACGGTTAGCCTTAACCTAAACCATTGTCTGTGTGCACTTAGCAATTTACATTGACTGACCGTACTACACCATGGAGGAATATATGAAACTCCACGCCTGGGCAATTAGGAAACTAATAATCACCGGTGCATCCTATTCTAGGAAACTAAATCATAGTGCATCCATCCTATTAGGAAACTAATCTTGGACAAATCCATCCTATTAAAAACTTATCTCGGACGCATCCAACTTATTAGGAAGCTAATCGCAAGCTGCCTGCCGCCATCATGCACGCTAGACACGATGGGGGGAGCGCGAGGAGCTTCGTTTTCCTCCGGGAACACATGTGCTTTCACCGCCATCGTCTTCTGCCTGGAGGCCAGGCGCTCTTCTGCTGCTAGTGTGGCGACTCCATCCACGTCCTGGGCATGCTCTCCGGCAACCATTGGCATCCGCGTCGACTTCAGCTCCATTCGCAACACCCACGCCGGCAACAACCCATCACTGAAGTCCTCCAAGTCCAAGCCGCCAACTGCCGTCATCCCTAGGGCGGCACCGGTCTCGGCCGTGGCCTAGGAGGTGCCGTCATTGCCGTTCCTACGGTCGTCCTACTGGGCCATCAAGGACCTCCTGCAGTTCTTCCTACGTGCACAGTCGAAGGCACCGAAGGTCTATCGCAAATCAATCAGGTGAACCATAATTCGATTGGGGGATATTCTGCAATTTGCATGACTAATACTGCATTTTTGGCACTTGGAGGTGGGTCAGAATTTTTTGATCTACAATTTCATCTATCAACCATTCTTCCTCTGATGCATTCTAGAAGTAAAAAATTGGGACATGAAGAAATTGCTATTCCAGAGTTTAATTAATCATTTGATAATTCCTTTGGGAAATACATGTTATCTGGAGCATGAAAATCATTCTTATATATACTCCCTCCATTCCAAAATATAAGTATTTTTAGAGATTTCAATGCCGACTACATACGGAGTAAAATGAGTGAATCTACAGCCTAAAATATGTCTATATACATTTGTATATAGTCCATACTGGAATCTCTAAAAAGACTTATATTTTGGAACAAAAGGGAGAAGATATAGGAAGAATGGGACAGATTGTAAGAGTGTGTTTGTTTAGACCGTATACTTGCAATGCGATTCATATTTAGACCAAGATTAGAATTTGACTACATGCATAAGTTTGGCTGGTTGAGAAATTTGAACTCACAATCTCTCATAAAGTTTTTGTTCAATGGGTGCACGTACATTACATATTAAATAAGAACCATGGGGCTTCAAACAATCTAGAATTGTAGATTTGGGATTATCTTAGGTTGCCGATTGTTGTACCAAAAATGTGTAATTAGATATGGCACGTACATAAGAATACAACAATCTTGTCTTACAAAGTAGGATCAAGAGGGATACTGAAGAAGTCAAGATGCATAGTCTCTATTTCCCATGATTACTTCTCAAGTTCATGTCAGCTTCCTTGGGCTTTACTTCGTACGACCATATGCATTAAAATGGACCGTATCAAGAGGTAACGCCATCCCCTTGATTAGAATTGCCTTATTTGTGCTATTTGGTCAGTGTGTTTTTTACGTATGATGTTGCTTTACCTGGAATTATGGTGAGTTTTGCCTGCCTAGGCACTAGCTCCAGGGATAGGTTGGAGATCAGAATATATGATTCATTCTTAGAGAAAGATTTACACGCATCGCTTTAACATAATTGCATAGCAATCTAGTAAATTATGTAAGATTTAGTAGGAGGCAAGATATTGTAGATGTACTGCTATTTTAGTTACATGATTCTATACATCTAAAATGGGTTACATGACTCCGTAACTGTGGTTAGAGAATATCTCTCGCTATTCTGTAAAGGTGTGCAATCTCTACTGCGTTCCAATAAATAGAATTTTACCATACAGAAGGATCCAATGAAGAAACTAATCCAGCTGAGTTCCAATAAATAGATCCTTCGAAGGATCTGTCCTAATACATCTGCCGTATATTGGTATAGAGAAATCATATAAATTGTATTTAGTCAGATTTATTCTGTTTCATGATAGAGAAACCATATACCTTTTGCTATTTTGCCACATATATTTATTCTTATATACTTGTGCAGTTTCAAATGATCCAGCATATCTACAATCATCAAACTTGAAGACATACTGTTTAAGGCGTTATTTGCACCGCCTCTCTTTCTTTGTCTGCGCGCCTCTTTCCTCCAATAATAATAATGAATAACTTTTTTCGGATTAGGTATTACACTGTTATAAATGTATGTTGAAGCTACTCCTTACCACAAGGAAAAAGAGGATGAATGCTTTCTATCTTCACCAGTTTTGTAGCATGTTCCAAATTGTTGGCTCTTTGTTATTTGAGGTTTCATCATGTTTTTTGTATTTTAGAAGCTGACCTGAAAGCTTGATAAGGTTAAGCTTGACAAATACTCTGGAATACTGTTCCTTCCATCTTTATTTTTCTTCATAACTCATTTCATTTTCTGTACGTACAGAGCGTCTTACAACATTGTAAGTTAGTATGGTTGCCAACGCATAAACGCATACATAACTGGATAAATACTTTCTATCATGATAATTATTGGATTTCTTTTAGCCCTTTTACATTTCAATTAGTTCTTGTAAATCATCTTTATTTTATATAAGAGTCGTTGTAGTCACATGTCATCTTCTATTTCCTATTATCCATAGTAGATAGCTATATAATTTTGGCAACCCACACAACCCAAAAATATATATAATTTGATCCAAATTAGTACATGTATATATATATTGCTATGCTGATTAGTAGAATAAAATGAGATTCAAGAATTAAGCATCTTGAATAATATAATTGCACTGTAAGGCAGTTTATACTTTCTTTTCCTGACTACACTCGAAGAGAAGACTACACTACAAGCCTATATTACTGCATTAACAAATAATTGTTGATTTTATTTAAATGAGAATATTTTCCTGCGATTACTCTATGCAGCAACATAACCACTATTGTGTCTCATTTTTTAAAACACAATTTGAGCGACATCAAATATTGTGTATCCATTTGATTTATATTTTTAAACACATTTTTTTATATTATGGGAATCTCACCTGGTTTATGTTTGAGACGTGCGTTGCATGTGCACTCTTACTAGTATTGGTAATCATACATCATGATGTGTTTGGTTCAATAAATTTTGTTGCTGGCAGTGGATTTATTTATCTTCTGAAATGAATCAAGTGAATATATTGATATTTACTTGATGAGACATAAGTCTGGATCTTTTGAATTCATTCAAAAGGTTTTCAAAAAATAAGGAAAAGTTATTGTAACAAGAAAATTATGTTTGTACAGTTCAATTGCAGAAAGGAATAATTGAGTTGCAAGTTTAGCGAATGTCTGATGAGTTGTGAAAGGGGTTTCATAACTTACACCTCCCGGAACACCACTGCAAGTGGAAAGTCCATGAAGATGTAATTGAACCATTTACGACCTGGTAAGATCAAAGATGACATAAATCAATTTTTCATTATCCCTTTTAATAGTAATCTTTAGAGACTGCGGTTTTTACACTGAAAAGAGCTCCATCAGGTCAATTGAAATGACACCATGGTATGGTACGCCTGACCATGTTATAACTTTTCTTGACATCCGGAATATGGGGCTTGTGTAAAAGGTTACAAACCTGTTCCAAATCAGACAACTACTACTTTCTAAGTTATCCCAAGTCATTGGGTATTCCCCCACAACTATACCAAGGCAAACAATTTTTCCACAAAACGGCATGCTTTTAAAGAGAATAGTTCTTGCAAAAGGTGAGTGGGAGGACAGTGCAACTCAACAAGATAACAAGTATCTTAGTTATTAGGTTAAAGGAAAGGACCTTGGAAGTAATTCAAGAGTTTCCTACTGTGACTGATGTGGAAGCCTCTACATGAGATGTATGGACTTTGTTTGAACATGCAGCTGAACAACGTAGGCAAAGCTCGTGCAAACCTCTCAGGTGCGCAAACAAGATATTTTTATTAGACAATAGTATACCTACGACACACAAGGAAGTGTTCATGGCCCATGACTCCGAAATGGGCTAAATGCCAATATAATCCGAGATAGTTTCCATAAAAAATTCAAGATTTAAATCTTGATAAACCCTCCAAAAGACTTAGAGTCTAACCGACTATAACGGGAGTATAAACTTCTACGGATAAAAATGTTTATCCATTGAGCTCGAGTTGTTGCAATAACAAGTTCAAGGAGTTGACTACAATGAGATTGTCTCATCGTAGCACTGCTTAAAGTCTGTCTGGATTAAACTAGCAGTTAATAGATATTTCAAACATGATAAATGAAACATGGGTGCCAAAAGGATTTCCATGAGATGGAAATACAACCTAGGACATTTATGTGATACAATCCAAAGTATTTTGTCCGTCCAAAGGATGCTAATTAGTATGCAAACTTCAAAGTTCCAGCAGTGGACAGAAGAGAGCAAAATGGAGTTGGAATCCTCGTTTTTGATGGAATAGTCAAAGCGGTTTAACTTCATCAATAGGTAACAAAGATGCATGTGGTTTCAAGAAAGTAAGTGGGAGCATAATAATATTTCTCTGAAAACCTTGTGTGGTTGACACATTGTTAATTGGAAATAAATTTCTTGACACGAATTAGGACTTCGTTTGAAAATATATTTTTGATGAAGTGCTTGGGCAAAATAGCCTTGATATTAGGCATAATTATCTATGGATATAGATTTACCTAATGGGGATGAGCAAAAATACATATTGACAAGATGCTAAAACCATCTAGCACTAAGAACGACAAGGAGTGATTGTTGCTGAAGTCACATGGAAAGAGTTTTGCAAGACTCGGTGTCCCAAAACATTGATGAGCAAAATACATGATGGAGATTCCACTCACTCCTGTGTTTGGATTAATTATGTACTCCATGGTATGTAAAACTACCAAATATGTCCAATTCTCCCAAGCTATTGTGAGTACAGATAACAAGGTGATCAAAAGTATTGATCATGGGACAATAGTGAAAAAGGGTCATGAAGTACTAGAGTAGCACTGATGACATATTTTCTCACAAGCAGATATCATGAAGAGTTCATTGTAAAAGGTTACATCTATACAATATGGTGGCACAGTAAGTATGTTGCCGAATTCTATAACAGTGGCTAAGTATGTTGCCTCTTTATAAGAGACAAAGAAGATGTTGAATCTTATAGTTCATTCATGAACTTAGTGTGGTTCCAAGATGGCTTTGGTGAATGGGACACTATTGCAGATAGTTTCTCCATAGCTCAGTCTGAGGAATCAAGGTTCGACCTATGATTCACATATATACAAAGCCAAGTCCACACAAAATATGAATTTTTGAAAGCGTGAAAACGTGAGGATATGCAAAGACACACACAGAGCTGAAGTTGTCAGGTA